TCGGCCATTTTGGCCCCGCCCTACCCCCGGGGGTCATGATTTGAACAAACTTGAATGTACACTACCTGAACATGCTTCCATATAAATATGATGAATTATGGCTTTGTCATTCTTGAGAAGACGATTTTTAGAGAATTTTCCTATATATTTCTATGTAAAACTTTGGTCGGCCATTTTGGCCCCGCCCTACCCCCGGGGGTCATGATTTGAACAAACTTGAATCTACACTACCTAAACATGCTTCCATATAAATATGATGAATTATGGCTTTGTCATTCTTGAGAAGAAGATTTTTAAAGAATTTTCCTATATATTTCTATGTAAAACTTTGGTCGGCCATTTTGGCCCCGCCCTACCCCCGGGGGTCATGATTTGAACAAACTTGAATCTACACTACCTGAACATGCTTCCATATAAATATGATGAATTATGGCTTTGTCATTCTTGAGAAGACGATTTTTAGAGAATTTTCCTATATATTTCTATGTAAAACTTTGGTCGGCCATTTTTGGCCCCGCCCTACCCCCGGGGGGTCATGATTTGAACAAATTTAAATGTACACTACCTGAACATGCTTCCATATAAATATGATGAATTATGGCTTTGTCATTCTTGAGAAGAAGATTTTTAAAGAATTTTCCTATATATTTCTATGTAAAACTTTGGTCGGCCATTTTGGCCCCGCCCTACCCCCGGGGGTCATGATTTGAACAAACTTGAATCTACACTACCTGAGGATGTTTCCCCATAAGTTTCATCTTTCCTGGCCCAGTGGTTCTTGAGAAGAAGATTTTTAAAATATGCCACTAAATTTTCATTAATTCCCAATTATCTCCCCTTGAATGAGGGCGTGGCCCTTCATTTGAACAAACTTGAATCCCCTTCACCCAAGGATACTTTGTGGCAAGTTTGGTTGAAATTGGCCCAGCGGTTCTTGAGAAGAAGTCGAAAATGTGAAAAGTTTACAGACAGACAGACAGACAGACAGACGGACAGACAGACAGACAGACGGACAGACGGACGCCGGACAAAATGTGATCAGAAAAGCTCACTTGAGCCTTCGGCTCAGGTGAGCTAAAAAACCTTTGTCGACCATCACATCATCACCTTGTTCTAATAGATCAAGTATACCACTTCTTTGTGTTACATCTTTATAAGAAATATTTCCAGTAAATAATCTGCTAACAAAACATACAGCACCATGAGGGGTTATACCAATCAAGCCTTTAAAGGTAGTATGAGACTTATAATTTGAATATGACTGAGAGTTAAGTACTTTGGCACTTGGAGTCTGCACACGTATTTCTGTACAATCCAAAATAACTCTTGTCTTGGGAAAAGTAGTCTTAAAACATTCTGGCATATTCTGTTTAACAATATCTAAATCTGGCCATATGGGTAGACATATCAAAATACAATACAAGTAATTACTCCAAGTAATAATGATACGACTAACAGTGCTTTGAGACACACAAAAACGTTGTGCTAAATCTTCTTCAAAAAAACCTTGTCTAATTCTACATGAAAACATAAAAAATTGATCTACAATGGACAAAGACTCTTCTCTAAAAGGATTACAAACAATGTTCTTATTTCTCTGAACTTGTGACCACCTGATCATATTTGAGGCTGTTGGCTCAACAACATTATATACAGCACAAAAAATATCATAAGTAGAAAAACCAGTGTAAAAATTTATCAAATTTGGATCTTTGGAAAATCTTTCAATTCCGAACTTCTCTACTTTCTTCTCAAGGTGCTGTACCCTTTCTTCTAGTTTAGAAATGTGTATCTTCATGGCCTGCAACATAGTACATGTATTACACAGTGATCGATATATGCACATGGTTTATCTATTCCAAATTAATATCAATTAACATTACCACAATATCACAAGAGACATTTTCTTCTTTTATTTAAATTTGTATGAGCAACTGTATACAGTATTATTTACATTATGAAACATTAATTATATTATTGAATGCACACCATTGGATGTTTCTTTGATGGAACAGATGCTGCTAAAAAATCTGTACAGGTGGTTTGCTTTTAAACTGTGTTAACTGATAAGATTTCCATTGTGGTTTTCATAAACAAGAGGCCCATGGGTCACCTGAGTAATTTGGTCCATTCTGTTCTTTGACAGATTTCCCCCTTGTACTGTCTATTGTGTAAAACTTGGATACCCTATTATTGTCCCATCCTATCCCTGGGGGTTTTAATTTAGAATCTACACTGCTTCAGCTGGATGCTTCCACATACAAGTTTTAGCATTTCTGACCTAATGGTTCTTGAGATTTTTTAAAAAATTTTCCTTCATATTTCAATGTAAAACTAGGATTCCCTATTTTGGCCCCACCCTACCCTGGGGGGTCATGATTTGATTAATTTAGAATCTACACTACCCCATGATGCTTCCACATCTGAGTTTCAGCTTTTCTGGCCCAATGGTTCTTGGGAAGATTTATAAATCACCCCACCCTATTTTTGCCTTTTCTTGATTTTCTCCCCTCAGAAGGAGATTTGGCCCTTCATATTAAAAATTTAATTTTCCTTTGCCCAAGGATGCTTTGTACCAAGTTTTGTTAAAATTGGCCCTGTGGTTCTTGAGAAGAAGTTGAAAATGTGAAGTTAACAGACGGACGACGGACAACGGGTGATCAGAAAAGCTCACTCAAGTTTTCAGCTCAGGTGTGAGCTACAGACAACATGCCCCCAAGATCAAAGGAACTACATGATCCGTGTATTACCTCAAGATCTTCTTCAAGAGATGGTGCTTGGTGACAATAGTCATGCTCTTCAGATGGCATATCTGTTGAAGTGTCTGATTGGCACATGTTGCAGTTGATGATGAATGTTGGTCTGTGTCTAACGAGATTGACGATGATGTTTTCTGCTTCTTAATAATTGAGGTTTCTTCTCTGAAAAGATCAATATGTATCATAATACATGTAAAATATTATACATAGCAATGTTTAATTTTGATACGTACAGTAGAATTTTGAAAACTCAGCTATATGTCATTGGGACTTAAAAATCTTGCACATTCCTAAACCTTTATGATTCATTTGATCACAAAATGCAATACTTTTTACAAGTCAGTGGTTCCATGCAAGCTTCACTACATACAAAATTGATAAAAAGAAAAAGTTTGCAGTCAGACACAATATTGCATGTAGATTAAATAATTTTCATGACATACTTTTCACTAACATTTACACATCCAGATAATACCATAATCCATTGGTACCAATACAGATTTATCTGGAGAAAAAGTGTCTAAATAAAACAATTTACTTATCTTAATCCAAGACTTTGACCATATTATTGTGCCCCTTTCCCTTTGGGATGATTTGAACTAACACATGAGATGATATGTTTAAGCAGTGAACCATTATTTTTTTAAGGATATATAGTCCCGTAATTGCAACGGTGTGTGCAAACAAATTAAATGTCCCTGTAATGGTGTTTTAAATGCCTTAAATTTCCACATATTTTACATGCAAAATACATGTTTATATATGTAAATGTTATATATATCTTTAAATTTACAGATTTTATTTTTTTCTATTCATTCTCTTTGAAGTAAAACTTGAATCTATAGTACTTTATATCAGGAAGGTTTCACGCAAGTTTCATTTTTTGTGGCTCCTGTTTTTTTGAGAAGATTTTTAAAGGATCCCACAATTTTCATTGACTATTTCTTAATTATCTCCCCTTGGAAGTAAAAAACTTGGGTTTTCCCTCGCCCAAGGATTGTACATGCATGCGCCAAGTTTGGTTGAAACTAGCTCAATGAAAGAAAATGTGAATATTATTTGTAATGACAACAAACACCAATGACAGATATTAATCATATTATTAGACAAATTTGATCACAGGCCTTTAGAAAAAAGATAAGGTGTTGAAAAAAAAAATAAAGGTATGAAACTCTTTTTCATAGGGTACCTTCTTTTGCGAATAAAATTCTTTTAAATCAAATGCTTTACAATTTTACTTTCTTTCCATATCAATTCAAATATAAACAATCTTCATTACTACCAAAGTTCATCCCATAATTCCTTATACTTCTCGAGATATTCTGAAATCAATTCCAAAATTGACCTCAATTTTTTTTTACTCGACATTAGCTTGGGCCTTAGAAGCAAGCTCCAAACAGCTCAGTATTACGTTACGCTACAACTCCATATCATCGCTGCCACAGGCCTTTTTGATATGACCTCGTGACCCCATGACACGCTGGTTATGTGACGTCACAAGACGTTCAACTCGAAAAATGGATTCGACAGGAACGACACCTGTCAAGAGGTATTTGAAGTGTTTTTTGTGTTTTTCGTCCCCGAAAATTTTATTTTCCTTAAAGGGGAGGAAATTCAACGACAGTAGCATTCCTGATGAGGTGATAGACGGTATTGTTGGGCCAAAGACCGTCGAGAAGCTGAAAGAAGCAGAGGCATCGGTAAGAGTCATAATTAGTGTTTATGTATACATATGATAGATAATATTGGAAAAGTTTTAATGCATTTATGTCATTATTATTTTTATGTAAAATCATATCAGTTTAATGTGCTATATATTATATTTGCTGAACTGATCTTCCTTCTGCGAAACTTAACTATTATTGACCAACGGTGCTTGGGGCACCTGTAAACTTGTTTACAATTATACGTACAGGTTAGTTATAGTCTGTCCCACGACCGGAACGTCACTACTTTTTGCAAAATATCTCAAAATAAATAAATACCTTGGACTTCAACCTATATACGATTGGTAGATTGGTTTTTTTCCAAACTTCCTGCATTTATCCGAACCCTCGAGGTCAACCAGTGTAAACACACGGCGGCAAATTCAAAGTCTACGGGGATTTAACATTGCCAAAATGGCTGCCACTTCGGAAGGGGATACTTTATTATTTTTTTTTCTTCGGAATTTTCCGTAGTCTTTCGTCAGTGACGTCATGTATGTTTCAACGCTGCGCACGTTGTATCTATTTACGCATGCGTTACAAAATAACGTGTTTCTGCCATATTACATCTAGGCCCTAAACATATAATATTTAAAGTACTGCAGCAGAATACCACGGCAGAAGAAGACCAGACAAGCTGTAAAATCTCTACAGGTATTATAGCATGGTAACAGATACACCCATGTTGACAACTTTGAGCTATACAGCTATGTTTGCAGCTATGCAGCTATGTTTGCAACCATGAACCTACGGTACTCTACTATATTCTGGGATGTCTATAAATCCCTATAACAAGTATTTCTGTATAAAAATATGACTTTACCTTATGTGAGCATAGCCCGGTATTTAATCCAACATGGAAGGCAGGACATTAAGCCTGTAATTCTTCAGAACTTCGGCATCTCCAAACCGTTACACATCGCACACATGTGTACACATAAACAACGTAAACATGTCAGGCTATATCACACACACTCTTGTTTTAACCACTATATTTTCACATCAGCCATAACTGAAACACTATAATTCAATTGCATTCATGTTCAAAACATTCTACACACGCAAAAAACCTCCATATTCGGTCAAACAATTTTGAAAGTTCCTGCTGTTGTCTGCTATTTCTCGGATAAGAATGACGTCAGGAAGCGACCTTGCCCTTTATAGTGTGCTGAAAGGTCTATTCACACCCATGTAATTCTTACCCGAGTTGTAATTTTACACACGTAAGTAGTGATAGAGACATTCAGTATACACTGTTTATGGTTTCATACATGACCGTGTCTTTTCTTTCACATTTTAATAAATAATAGAAATTATTCAAAGTCCAAAAACACATCTTATTTATTCTTTTTATATAATATAAATAAACAAGAAAGATAACTCTTAGATACTGAGTAATAATTAGTATCTTAATTGCTGGCAAGAGTTACCTCCCACACAAGTTAACCCCTAAAGCAAAAATAAACTGAGACAAACTTGGTGTTTCATTGTTCACAATAAGAACAACAAATTATAAAACCTTTATTTTCACAGAAGCAAATTCTTAAAAATATAATAGATGAATATAGAAAAGATGAATATAGTGATTCCATGAGTTGCAAATGTATATGCATAAGCTGTCCATTTTCATTAATTGTTATAATATGTGCAAGTTTTTTTGTATACATCAAGAATATGAGCCTTTCACAACTTCTAGATGGAATTTAACTTTAATTGTAATTCACATGTATAAATGTATATAATTAAAATCAGAAAGTAGCTTTCTTTGAACTACATGCAAGAAGTTGTGATTGGACAAAATTTAAAAAATATGAGTGCATCACAAAACCTCACATATTGTCTTGAAATTCAAATGAAAAAAAAATTGGGGCAGGGGGGTGCAGCTATGCATTTTCAGCTAGAGGGGCACTATCAACTACCAAATTGAACAATTCCTTGACAAATAAAAAGATAATAAAAATTATTGATGGGGCACAAGCAGAAAGTAGTATAGTAGCTGTAATTTCTGTATATCAGCAAAATCATTAAAGGGGGGGGGGGGGGGGCACCCCATCCCCTGGTTCCTACAGCTATGAGGGTTATAACGTTCATTTTATACACAACTGAGTTAAGAATTTTATGATTTTCTTTGATTTCAAGTTAGATAATACATCTATAGTAATAACACAGGAAATATTGCATATTTTCAAAACAATTGCTAACAATATTTAGTGGATGAGACAAATGATAAATCTACTGTGGTTAGAATGAAAATTGGGTCTCCAGAGGCTTTTAGGATCCTATAATTCTTAATGAGGCAGTCAAGTTGATACAGCAAAAGTTTTTTATGGGGGAAAACTGTTCTTCATAGGAAGAGATAAGGGGAGACAATAAAAACTAAATTCAATTAGGCTCATCTTTATCAATTGAAAATCTTTGAAACGGATTACAAAGGTGTTCTGAATATCTTAAAGCTCAAAAAGAGTTCACATAAACAAAAATAGTAACCTTGGACTAAAACTAAAACTATTAATTTAACATTTTTTGTAATGCACAGGTTCTTGACATTCTTAAAAAAGTGTACCAGGCATTTGAGCAAGAGAGGACACAGGGAAGGGTAAAAAACATTTCTGACCCTCTGAAGAGACTTTCCACAGCAACAGGTATGAAATATCACACAAATACTCTGCTACTGATACAGACAGATATCTGTAATAATGGACCTTTTCACAAAATATCCGGCATATAAGACCAAAAAAATCTATTACATTAATTGTGAAAAAAGAAAATCTTTAGTTATTTAACTTAAACAAGAAGCCCATGGGCCATATTGCTCACATGAGCATTCTTTTTAGATAAAGCAAGATTTAGTTCTGAATTGACAAGTATATTTAATGGTTTATACATATGTTATCTCATCCTACCCTAAAGATCCTCAAGTTGAGTTGAAATTGAGTTAATTGACACAATGTTTCTAGAGAAAAATATTCAATAGTGAAAAGTTTATGATGTATAATGCTGACAACAATGAAAATGACAGACCCATTTTGATCAAAAAAGCTTATTTAAGCCATTGACTATAGTGAGCTTATATTTTCTTGCTTTTATTACATTAAAACATATTGTGAGATTATATATATATATATAAAAAAGAAATGACAGAGTGACAGAATTATCAAACTTCAGTTCTCTGCTTACACAGTAAGTCATTTTATGTTAAAAAAAAGATGAAAACATAGTCTGTGCATTGTATCCTCTGATACATGAAGTACATATTAAAATCTTTTAATATATTTTACTGTAGGAATATCTGAAAGAACTCTGAAGGCAAATCTCCTGTCTGATCCAGTGAAAACTGTGGTTGAGGATCTGCAAGTCCCTCCTGTACAGCAGAAGATCCACTCCAATAAGGGGCTCGATGACTTTGATGAGGACCTGGTGAAAAGGACCATCCATGAGATGCAGTTGAGGCGCGAGTATGTTTCTCTCCGTCGACTGTCAGATGTGTTGGTAGAAAGGGGAATCAGGATCACCAAATCATCTTTGGCAAGACTCGTGAAGAAACTTGGATTCAGGTAGGAATCAATTGGAAAAATATAACCTACAAATAAAGCATATAATTATTAAAATTACATGTATTTATTAAATACACTTATTGACTGGATTCAAGGCCAACATACATTTTGTTGGACCTACAGGGTGAAAAAAAAAAGCATTTCGCTTTCGAACCCAGTCAATAAATGATGTTATACAAAATTGTACCTTTCATTATATAATTATAATTGTCCAATAATTGTCCAATATCTTGCTCCACAATCAAACATTGATTTTACATTTAATACTGCTCAGTAAACAAAGGAAAAAATAGACTTATTTTGATATGGATTTATATAAGAACAAATTTTTAAAGTATAAAAATAAGCATTGTTTGCATGCTTAACAAGAGGCCTATGGGCCACATCACTCACCTAAGCAGTGTGGCTGGGAAGAAAAGCAAAAGTCAATTCACTATTGAAAAGCTTAAATGCATATCCCAATAATAAGGAGGGGGATATGATTTGAATTAATACCTTAAATCTACACAAACTAAGAATGCTCACATATTTCTTTGACATAATGTGGCTTTTTCTCTCTAAAATTTGAACTTTCATTTTGGCTCCACCCTTTCCCCAGGGTCAGGATTTGAATAAACTTTAATCTTCACTACCCGAGGATGCTTCCACATTAGTTTCATCTTTCCTGATCCAGTAATTCTTGGGAAGATTTTTTAAACTTGCCACCTAATATTCACAATTTCTGAATTATCTCCCCCTGAAAGAGGGCATTTCCCTTCATTTGAACAAACAATCTTCTTCACCCAAGGATGCTTTGTGGCAGGTGCAATTGAATTTGGCAGATTTACAGACGGACAAATGGACAGGACTTCAGAACAAATGTGATCAGAAAAGCTCATTTAACTTTATCACCTTTGCACTTTTGTAAAAAATATTTTTCTTTTTCTTTCAGATTCTACAAGTCTGGTTCAGATCGGAGGTTTATTGGTGAGCGTAATGACATTGTCAGTATGCGCCATACTTACCTGAGGTCCATCCGAAACTTTAGAGAGGCGGGTCGTCCTATTGTGTACTTGGATGAGACTTGGCTGAACACCAATCATGTAGCGAGGGGAGATTGGGTGGACTGTCCTAGGACATCTACCTCTGCCTTTGAGTCACACCGTGAAGGTCATGGGCGCTTCGTCCCACCTGGGAAGGGGTCTCGTCTGATAATCGTGGATGCTGGTTCTTCGGCTGTAGGCATGATCCCGGGATCAAGCCTAGTTTTCGAGTCGAAAACTGGCAATCAGGATTATCACGATGAGATGAACTCAGGAAACTTCACGAGGTGGTTCACTGAGCAGTTGCTCCCTAACCTACCGGGTAATTCAGTCATTGTGATGGATAATGCTTCCTATCACAGTCATCTGGATCCTGAGTCTAAGTGTCCGACATCGTCGGCGCGAAAGGCCGAGATCCAGTCTTGGCTTGATAGAAAGGGTATCCATTACACCCCGGCAATGATCAAGGCTGAATTACTCACGTTGGTGAAGCAGCACAAGCCTCGTCCTAAGTACGTGATTGACGATTTGGCTTCACAGGCAGGTCACACAGTTTTGCGTCTACCTCCTTATCACTGTGAGCTGAATCCCATCGAGCTGGTTTGGGCTGAATTGAAAAGCTTCGTCGCCAGGAGCAATGCCACGTTTAAGAAAGATAAAGTGATGGAGCTATTCAATCAAGCAAGATCAGCTTACGATGTGGAGAAGTGGAGGAGGGTCGAGAGCCACGTGATAAATGAGGTGGAGACAAAACTGTGGAAACTTGACGGAGTTCAGGATGACGAGGTCGCTCCGGTGATCATTGACTTGACGGACTCCGAGGACAGTGACAGTGACTTAGACTCAGATTTTGGTGATGACGAAAGTGACGCTGACTCTGACGTTTCCATGAACTCCGTCGAGGAATCTGATGATGAAGTCACTTGTTGCATATGTGGTGACTATAATGCTCCTGGACGGTCACGAAAGATTGCCTGGGTGGAGTGTGAGTTGTGTAAGAGGTGGAGTCACCGCATATGCACCAAGCCCTCTCTAAAGTCAGGTAAGTGCCTCCGATGTTGGAACAGTTTGTACGGACTGAATCCGCTTTCTTCATGAGCCTTCCTCTGATGATTGGTGAACTGTTCCTCTTTAAAGGTAAAAGAAAGATTATTAATCATTCATTGATGCATGTACGTATCACTTAGTGTTTGATCATAGATTTAGCTATTTGAGAAAAATAAGATAATGCAGTAAACGCTAAGAATTCAGTAAAATTTTACTCTAAAATTTTGACATTGTTGGAATGCTCATAAATAGATGAGAGTGCACTGATTTAAATATAACTTGGTTCACAAGTAGACTACACTAAAATACATAATTCTGAGCATCAGTTTTTGATTTCAATGAATGGAGTAGCTATTTTTACTAGTTTGGGTCTAATTTCGAAATAACTTGGCAAAGAAACAGACTACACTAAGACGAATAATTATATTTATTGCTGTTGCAATGTTTCAAACCCATGGGCTACTTTTCTATTTCTCTGTTTATCAGAACAAACAAGTAGAGCTACAGTCTCATCAGATACTTCTGGTTTCAATGTGTGACACATCTTCAATTCGATATTTCAGCTGACAAAATTTAATTACGCAATAGGATATTAAATATATGATTACTATATAAGTAAGGAACAAATTTAATAGACACCCAATTTATATTTGTAAACTGTTTATAACATATGAAATCGGAACCTATTAAATTCATTCCTTACAGTTTAATTTTTCTTTCATTTATTGTTAAAAAAAGTTGACTGCCTTGAAAGTACCTTCAAATTGAACAAAATTTATATGTAATGTCAGGCAGATTGATACATTACTTTGATGTAAGTCATTCGGACAAAGGGAACCTAATTTAATTGATATAAAGTAATTTTTTTATCCATCAATCAAATACCGCTTTATGACCTGAATCAAACTGTTCATAATTGAAAATGTCGAAAGTCTCCTAAGACAATGAAAACTTAAATCTTTGGTTAATCTATGATACATGCATTGTTTAATGATTAATTTGTCTTTCAAAAGGTGGGACTGTGTGTAACTAATCTTTTTTACTGTTTCTTGCCTACATTCTTGAGATTTTACCTCATATTGCTGTAATCACTTTCTTGTCATTTGGTCAAAATTTCATCAGTATGGATCAGCTATAACTGAAAATAAAGAAGATCATTACAGATTTGAATCCCTATTGTAGATCCTTGCAAACTTAAATTTATTAAAGACTTTATGCACATGCAAGCTTACATATGAATTTCTTTTTACCCTGCTGGTATATAGATACAGAGGTAACCATATCCAGTTATAGTAAACTGCATACTGGTAAATGAATTTTAATAAACAAGTCAGAATTTCACTGCATTTAAAATAAAAAATACACTCAATGTCAACTAATTTATTCTGATCCCTAATAAATTTTGCTTTTACCTATAGCTGTATTTTATGGTCATTAAGACATCTTAAGGTTCAAATAGAGTTTTTCATAATTATGTGAACACATATACTGCCTGATTATCTGATTAATTACACACAATGCCCCCTACCGAACCAACAAACCTGACTTTGGATGAGTGAAGCTGCTTCCCCTCCTCTGTATCTCCTGTATGTTAACTTTTCACAGGCCAGCATTTAGTCTCAGTTCCTTATTGTGGTCCACTTCTCCTCTACAATTGGGACTTGCTTAATCAATATTTTTTTTTCATACATACAGTTTGTAAAATTAATTGCAAGAAAAGTGTTTTCATTCATGGGATATATTGAATCAATGATACAAATTTGTGCATATTTATAAAAACCCTATATACTGATTTCAAATTTTCCTTTTACATGACCTATTTTTACTTTGATTAAACCTACTGTGATATACTCTGTATTCTTTTTTTTTTTTTATTATTATGTACATAATCACTTGCAAGTAAAACAAATTTAATTTCAATGATTTTAATTCATGTGTGTACATGTTTTTTAATCATGTCATACTGTTTATTATATTTAAGCTTTAACATAAGAGTCGTACTGTATTTCTATTCAGTTTACTGTGATAAAATCTGCTGTGATAAATGTTATTCATATTGTTTACTGGTAACTAAATATGTAGTACATTGAAACATATGCATTGTAATTACTTGATTATTTTACATTTGTTCTTCAATATTTTGTATTTTCACTCTACTTTTACTGCACTTCAGTACTGTACATGATAAAAACTTTGTTGTGATTATTAGTTTAACTTAATTATTAATAATTTAATACATGTACTCAAAAACTCAAAAAATCCCACATCTTCATGTACCACTCTCTGAATCAGCGATTGTTCTAAATCTGAAAGATGCATATTTCGAATTTGTATTCTCTGTATCAATTTTTTTTACATAAATATACTGTATTTTTATATTTTCCATGTTCTGTGAAAACAATGTTGATGTTATATACACCCTCTTTTTTCTAATTATCTTTTTTCTTTCTTCAAATTTACCATATTAGGCTTACTGCTACTTATAGACTGACTCTAATGCTATAGTTGCACTAGTTTCATAGAGACATAACTTGCTTATTCAATGCTTTTGTGTCCGAATTACACCTTAAACCATTAATTATGACTGTATGTTTGCATTAAGGATATATCATGTATTACTTAAGGTTCTTTCAACCAAACATTGAATGTGTACAACAAAGGTGTTGGTTTGAAATGCACTACATTAAGCTAGTCAAAAAAGAAATAATAATGAACTAGCTAAATATATTAAGATTGTAGTCAAGCACAGCAGTAACTTACTGCAAATACTAATAATAAATTAGACTACAATGAGTTATACTTTTACATACAATTAAATGCTGAGCATTTTTACATGGACCCATGAATGGCATATGAATATAGTGGTTATTTTATTCAGTACACATTTCATTGTTGGTATACATGATATGGAGTCACTGGCACGACAGAGATGTCTGTAAACTTCCGTCTTTGTGACATTACCTAAATGCTTACATACAGGGCAAGGTATTTCAGAAATTCCCCAAATATCTTAATATCATATTTGATTTACATTATAAAGCAAGTAGTGTCTGTGATTAAAATACTACAGGAAAATTTCAAATGTTTGTCTCAATATTTGTATTGATTTCTTTGATGAGCATAATATGTGTTGTATTCATGCAGTAAATCATTGTTGTTGTTTTTTATGGGATGACACGTATAGTATACAAACTTTGATCACTAAAAAATTTTGAAATTTTCATTGATAAAAATCCTCAAACTGTATGTAGCATGTATAGTTAAGAAAAAATAAAATTCTGCAATGATTTTATAAATATACATTTTGTGATAAGTGATTATTCCTAACCATATGATACCCACAATATTGTGCTTTACAGATGTTGAAAAGAATTAATTGCAATATCAGTTATTGACTGTTCATCTTGTATAATACATGTACATGTTATGATGCAGATTTTCTCAAATTTGTGAAATAAATGTTTTGTTGCATTCCATAAGTATATTGTTTTCCTTTCAAAGATATATGAGGTTTTAAAATTGAAGTAAGTAATCTCATATCATTAGACAATATTCTGAATAATGCATTATAATGAAAAGTCATTTACATACAGTGACTTGTTGTATGACAAAATATGAAAAGTATGCATGGGTAAGAAAAGATACCTTCAAACAAAGTGAAAGTTTATCCTGACAGTGATTTCCATGAAAGGCTTAGCACCTGTAGAAGTCTCCTCAGCTGTAAATATGACAAAGCTGAACTTGGATTATATGAGGCTAAAAATATGTATGCTCTATATAGCAGTAAACCAATCAAATCAATCAATATGCAATTTTAAACATTTAATACTGTATACAGGGAAGTTTTTGCCCCCGTTTTATTTTCGCCCTTTTCTCGATTGGGCGAATTTAACATGGGGCGAATCAAAATTACACAGCATAATTTGTTAAACAGAACTATGACTGGGTGAATTTAAAATGGGGAAAATTATTTGCAAGTGCAAAAGGGCAAAAATAACACGGGGCAAAAATAACCCTGTATACAGTACTATAAATGTAAATTAAACCCATTCTCACAGTACATAGAGGTAGCATCATTAAGCCCCGTTAAAGGTGCATAGACACAGTGGCAATCTTGTGTATTAAAGAAATATTTTAAAAAACTTAAATCCAAAAAAATAATTATTTTCAGAGTAGAAATGTTTGAATGCAAAATCCCTTTTGTCATTCCACGCTTAGTGTTGTGTACAGAGTTTAGCAAATTGAACATACCTGTGAAATGTATAATACACAGTTTTTGTAAACAGGGCACAAGCTCTGATATTGTTAAGTTTCATGATTCACCAGGTGTGTTCAATTGTTAAAGTCTGCTCAATACAACTGCACGGACTGGACTGACAATATACTGTATGTTTTGCTTTCGTACATTTATATCACAATTTTCCGAATTATAGTTTTGTATTTTTCTTCAAAACACAAGATTGCCACTTTTCCTACGTATTAAGAATAAAATCAAAATCTGTGAAAGTGCAAGGATGCATCCATCAAACCCGCCCAAAAATTTGAAGTTTCAAAATTTTTTTAGATGAAATAAGATTTTTAATATATTTTCATGTGAAATGCCATTGCAATATATATAAGTTGTGATATTATACAGAAAATTTGAGAAAAATATTAACTTCAAATCTGTGTCTATGCATCTTTCATGCATGTGGGTAGCATAATTCTGTCTGTCTGTACACAATAAATTAAACTTTCTTTTAAAAATTTATATATGAATTAAACCAATCATTACATTTAAGCTTTTATGAAAGTCAAAATTTTATAACTGATTAAATAATTGACTTTAGCATTATATTTTCATTGACTGGGAGATTGATTGTGAAATGTGCTGTAAGATAAAGATTCAGTGTCTGTTGTCCTCTATACATCATATAAGCAATTGCAAAAAAAAAAAAAAAAAAAAAAAACAAACAATTATTTATATTGTATAAATCAATCAATCAAATTTTAAAT